ATACTAGGATGAAAGTTATTTTCTTTCAGAATTTTAGCAGCATTGCTCTAGCCTAGCTTTCAGTGTTGCTCTTCAGAAATCTAATGTCATTCTGATTCCTGACCATTTTATATACTATACGTGTATATAAAGCACAAGTTCTCTTAATCCTCTCATTTTCAGTTCAGTACTCGACCTTCATGGGTATCAGGTATCTCTCCATCTAGGTACTCTCTCTTTTACCCTAGCCAGAGAATAATAACCCATATTTTGCCAGACTCAGGAGGGTCACTTAACCCCACTTACAGGGAATGTGGCACCGGGTCTGGAATTGAACAACTTCTTACACAGATTTTGGATTGAACTCTATTTTAGTACCCTTTTGATCATTCCTACTTCTAGAGGTACTTAAGACACCATTTCTGAGCCTTTTGTGGATTCAGCTTTCCCCACTGTTGGCTTACATTTTTTTTTTCAGGCCTCCCAAGTCATTTACAACTCATCCACAAATGCTTTTCAACTTTCAGAATATTGCTGTTTCTGTTGACTTTCCCATTCACCCTGTCCTTGTTGGTTTATGCTTTAAAAAATAATCCTGGGGACCAGCAGATGGCATAATGGTTATGTCACTGGACTCCCATGTAGTTGACCACAGTTTGAGTCCCGAACCCAGTAGTTTAAAACTCACTCTGGGCATGTGTGCATATATGCCCCAAATCCCGAGAGGAGAATGAAGGACATGGGATTGCAGCGTGGCCATTCCCCCTGGGGAGTGATTTCTCGTTTTCTGTCTCTCTGCCTCTCTCTCTGTCTCTCTGGCAAACATGTATGTCCTCTAGGAAAACTTTCTCTCAAAAAAAAATCCTGTTACTCTAGGGGTGTGTTTACTTTACTCAGGGCACTGGGAGAGAATGAAAGTAGATGAATGTGTTTAAGCACCATCTCTAATTGGAGTCAATGCCATTGACTCTAAAATTGGAAAGACATATAATGGACACAACTAGAATCTATTAATAAATATATCCATGACTTTATGTAAATGCTGAGAGCTGAAGTTTAAGTCATTCTCACTCCTTTGCTTCAATGGGTTTCACACTGTACAATGACTAAACTAAGATGAGGCCAGTTGATTCCAACTGCCCATCCTGGCCAGACAATAGGGTCTTTTTCTGTATAGTTTCAAGAAACAATCTAATTCATTCTATATTTGGGACCAGCAGTTGGCGTAATGGCTATGTCACTGGACTCCCATGTAGTCGACTGTGGTTTGAGTCCCAGACCCGGTGACTTAAACTCACGCTGGGCACGTGTGGGTGCATGCCCAAGATCCCCAGAAGAGAATGGAGGAGAAGGGATTTCAGCATGGCCATCTCCCCCAGGGGAGTGATTTCTAGCTTTCTGTCTCTCTGTCTCTCTCTGTCTTTCTGAGCACATGCACCCTATAGCAAAAACCTCTCAAAGAATATTTATTTATGACACTGGATAAAGTAAAGAATATTTTATACAAGGGGTTACTTTTTCTGCAAAGGACCAAATAGTAAATATTTTAGGCATAGCAAGCCATATAGTCTCTTGCACGACTACTCAGCTCTGCTGTTGTAGAGTAAAAGTAGTAATAGATAATACATTAACAAATGAGTATAATTGTGTTCCAATAAAACGTTATTTACAAATGCAGGCAGTGAGTCAGTGCTTACCAACCACTGTTTTAGAGCAACAACATCAATGATAAAATTACCAAAGGAAGACTTTTTTGTTAAACTGTTACAAGGGCCAAATAACAGAATGCTTTTGGATATTTTTCATTTCATAAATATTTTGAGAAGAGATCATTAAATTCTTTTTGAGAGTTGCAACATCTGAATAATGCAGATAGGCATAGAATCTATTGTAGCTGAGTTTGAACAATGTGAGCTATATTAACCTTTTAGAGAGTTTTTGTTCATTCACTGGTCATAAATATAATGTAACAACTTATTATTTATTTAATAATTAGTTATTAGGCACCTAGTATATACAAGACATTGTTCTCAAACTGAGGATTAAGAGTAAATTAGACAGGGCCAGAGAATGATGCAGTGCTAACACAACAGGACCCAATGGGAAAGTCCCTGGTTTGCATCCTGGAGCCTCCCAGAATCTGCTGGGCACACACACCTGTGCCTGTGGTCTGGGGCTGGCTGAGGCTAGGAGTGGGTTGCAGTGTGAGAATCCTTATGGGAATGTCTGTCTTTCTATCTCTTGCTCTCTCTCTCTCTCTCTCA